TAGACGTAGTCCATGAAACCGTGGCTTGAATATGAGAATTACCCAGTAGCTTTAGCCTCGAGTTAGTCTCCCAGACGCAGAGTGTGGGAAATAACGCCCTGAATATGACAGATAGGGTGGCAGGATTCGAGTGAAATACTTAAACCAGATAGATTGCAGACGGATCCTACGCTGCAAGAGGAGACTCTGATAAGACCTAGGGAAGAAGGACTGCGTAACAATATGGCAAACTCTAATAAACATTCCTGGCACAAGGGTGGAGGGGTTGAGGGAGCTGCGAAAGCCAGTGCGGAGTATGGATAGTTCTCATGCAAATTGCTTAAAAGGGCACACCATACCACATTTTAATATGCAAGTAAAAATTGTGATAGTGAACAGGTGGTACGAGGATATAGGATTATAGATTATCCCAGAGCGGAGGGAGAGATACCACGATTGCTCAGCAGACAATTGGTCAAAGGATTGGCTTCACTCGTCTCTTTGGCGAGTTGTAATGCTGTGTTAAGAATGGCAAGACTCACTGGCAATGCTGGTAAAACGTCTGGGAATGTACCACGTCTGCGGTCCGACTTTGCAAACGATCATGCATACAATGGACTCCGGACTAGGTGCGTTCCTCTAAGTCGTCCTACCAATATGACAAATTTGCGAAAACAAGATCAAACAACTTCTAAAAAATCTAGTATTTGGTTAAGAGAATCGTCAATATATTTGCTATTTGAAGCTGAGTTTAGAAGATTGGCATTTTAAATATAGATACCAAATAGATAATTTCGAGCTTACTCATATTTGTAAGCAAAGATTTGTAAGCTTGTATGTACATTCCCACCATAAAACGAGATATGGATAAATGCCTGGCTTTCCTTAAAATGTACATCAGCCCTATGACCTAAGGGCACTCCAGCAATTTGGTGTGATGGTTAGCGTGTCGAGAATACACGTTGCACTCTCATGGTTCGAGTCCCACTGTGGGTGTTGATTAGGTGTTGTCAAAACTGAAGTCCACCTTGGATGAGGGCACTTTTTGAGAACTCAAGACTATGCGAAATGCATTGGAAGCGTCAGCTCTAATCATATAATTGTTGGAAGATTCAAAAACTAGTCTTTCATTATCTCAAACGAAATAGGGTGAGCATATCTCATATAAAGATTTGTGCGTCTTCTAACTATTAATTCTAGTTTATAATTCAACAGATAGGCATAATGAAAAAAATGCTTGTAGTTCAATTAACTAAAAGAGTGATCTTCTGTGCAGCACATTCTGAAAAGTATCCCTGAAATATTAAGCGTTTTTAGTTCCGCAATAGTTTGTTGAGGAAGATAATTCCTAAGTGGTTCCTAAACTTGGGTATAGAGCTAAGAGATAACTATAAAATTGAGAGACAGTTTTACGATTCTGCTGTGTTGACCGGCAATCTATGAGATTAGGGCGCGGCTGGCAAATGAGTACATAAATTCAACTCTACATGCGACCTAAAATATAGCGTTTATACAAACACGGACTAGATTTTTGTTATTTCTCATTTGTTATTCAGGAGATCATGCTTGTCAGGTGTGAATATTCACTTTTGATCTTTTAGAGCAGTGGACTTCAGCCCTCACGTTTTGGAGCCATTTCTTTGCATCTGCTGTCTTAGCAGCAGCTGGACAGTCCAGCTCAACATTAGATATACTGATTTGCATTGACGCAAATTTCTTGTACTCTTATCTGCCTACATTGGCACGAAATTACGCCATGGATGACAGTATTATTTATCATGATGATTGCTTAACAGAACTTCAGACCTTCTGGCGACGTGCACTCATACTTGCTTTGTATTCGGATGGAAGTAGAAACTCTTCATCAATTTAGTATGCATAGACAAAACCTTCAAAAAGTGACTAACAAATGTTCGCCGTGTAGTTACAATCCTACTTGTTTTGTACATACTCACTATTCTCTATGACATGGGGCACTAGATTTCAATGTTCCACAAACAACTTGGTTTCATAGATAACTATCCTTGAGTGAGACAGAGGAACGAGCATATTTTTTCTCTTACGTTCTGGAATTCTCATTTTCAATTTGAAGTAGCCTCGAGGCAATGATTCCGTACCTGAAATATGGAGCCAACTATTTCCGACCAAATTTTTTGGCTAGAACATTTGAGCTCTTAGTTTAACGCTTAGCGCTATCCCATCATCTCGCATCGATGAGGCTTGTAAGGAGATTCCATACTGGATGGGATAAACTAGCAATAAATAAAGATACATACTCTACTGCAGGTCTTCGTTTTATGAGGATATGTACTGGGAATGACGGTGTAGGCGGTGATAATTGGAGTGTCCTTTCTCCTCTTCTCAGCCCTGTTAAGTGTAGATCAATCGAAGTGAAACGTTGGCTCATTTAAAGACGGCTAGGTTTACTAAACACTGGATGTACCGAGAATCTAAGCTCTGTAACGCATTTTTAGCCTGAATCAAGCTTTTTTTTCAAGTTTCTGGGATCGTCTGTAGCCCCGAATCACCTTCGCTTCTCGCCAAATCAGCATGAGGCTAGAGCTTGGATCACCTTCCACCGATTTTGCGCGCTATCGCTCTCTCTCTCTCTCTACCCCGTAGGCTTTCCTCTTCTTTTCTGCTCTCCCTTCCCCGCTCCTTTACTCTCTACCTCCCTCCTATCCCTATCTACCTCTAACTCGGTCACTTTCGCTTCCGATTAAGGCGGCTATTGGCATGCCGTCATCGATTTATTCCGCCCCGAGGGCTCACGATCGTCAGTCAGAGTGAAGCGGGATCCCGGCGAAACTGGAGGCACAAAAACATGCATAAATGTGGAGTTGTGGAGGCAGGCTGGCAGACAGAGAGACAGCACAGATGGAGGTTAAGTGTAGCGGGCCAGGTGGACTGTGCTTCACACACACACACACACACACACGAGCACTTTGCGTACAGCCCCACCTGCGCAGTACAGACTGGCTTACAATGCACCGTGCGCCCGGGTGCTCGGAGTGGAGATCGATCCTCGCGTCTCTGATTCGCCTGGCCGAGTCAGAGTATCTCTCCTCGATGGTGTTCAGACAAGGTCGGTTTGAGCCAATCATGCCTTTGATAGTGGAACTGCCCGAGGATTTAGGCACCGGCGCACTTTTGTCGTGCTGGCCTCCACCTTTCGGGTCGATCTTTTCAAACGGGCTGATTGAGTCCCCTCGGCCCTATCTGCTTGGGCCACTTTTGGCGAGCTTTGGAGGCCTTTTTGGACACAAGACTGGTAAAATGCAACTTTCAGACCTTTATTAGTTTAAGCGATAAAGGCGGACTAAAATTCGTATTCAAGAGCTACTGATGGTCTGAAAATCATAATCAAAGGAAATATGACTCTGAATTATATATTA